GAAGGATGTGCAGCTACGACACACAACTATCCACTGGGGCTTTGGGGGGAAAAAATAAAATAAATTAAAAAAAAAAATCTTCAAAATAGAGGAAGATTGGCACAGATGTTAGCTCAGCAACAATCTTCCTCAAGCAAAAAGAGGAAGATTGGCAACGGATGTTAGCTCAGGGCCAATCTTCCTCACAAAAAAAATTTAAAAATAAAATAATAACAATAATGATGTTTATTCATATGGCTCTTATAGGATCCAGGTTTTGCCTCTCTTTTAGTTCAATTTTTTATTTTTAATTTAAAATAAAAACTTTATATTATTTTTGTCATTAAAAAAATTTTTAAGTTTTATCCAGGTTGAGTGTGCAAAATCTGAGTTGTATTTTTTTTTATATAATTTTTTTATTTATTTATTTTTTCCCCCAAAGCCCCAGTAGATAGCTGTATGTCATAGCTGGACATCCCTCCAGTTGCTGTACGTGGGACGTGGCCTCAGCATGGCCGGAGAAGCGGTGTATCTGTGCGCGCCCGGGGTTCCGAACCCAGGCCGCCAGCAGCGGAGCGCGTGCACTTAACCGCTAAGCCTCGGGGCCAGCCCTGAGTTGTGTTTTTTTTTGTTTGTGTTTTTTTTTTGGTGATGAAGATCAGCCCCGAGCTAACATCCATGCCAATCCTCCTCTTTTTGCTGAGGAAGACCAGCCCTGAGCTAACATCTATTGGCAATCCTCCTCCTTTTTTTCCCCTTTTCTCCCAAAGCCCCAGTAGATAGTTGTATGTCATAGTTGCACATCCCTCTAGTTGCTGTATGTTGGACACTGCCTCAGCATGGCCGGACAAGCGGTACATCGGTGTGCGCCCGGGATCCGAACCTGGGCCACCAGTAGCGGAGCGCACACACTCAACCCCTAAGCCACGGGGCCAGCCCCTGAGTTGTGCTTCTCTTTAAAGTTTTTGTTTTATTTTTATTAAAACATTTAAAAATATTTAATGCATATCACATGGCTCAAAAACCAAACAGTATTCAATATATTCAGGGAAAAGTCTTACTCCTACCCTCTACCCCCTGCCCTCTTACAGGTAACCACTTTTATTCATTTTATTGAAAAATCCTTCTAAAATTGAAGCATAATAAGCAAATATAAAATATATTTTAATTCCCTCTCCATGGTTTTTACCCTAAAGGTAACACATGAATGACACTGTTCTGCATGTTGCTTTTTCAGATAATAATTCTTGAAAATCTTTCACTTTAGTACATAGAGTGTCCTCATTCATTTTTTCCATTGTGAGGATATGACACCGTGTAGTTTGTCACTTATTGGTGGACACCCAGGTGATTTCTAGTCGTTTCCTTTTGCAAATGATGCTGCAGCAAGTAATACCCTCGTACCCATGTGGATTCACACAGGTGCAGACAGAATTGTTGGATCTATTCTTATGGTCTCAGTGGAGAAATTACCTTTTTGCCCTCCCACCAACAGTGCATGAATGTGCCCATCACCTCAGCAACAGAGCACCTCTCAGACTTCCTGGATGTTTGCCAGTTTGAGAGGAGGAAGATTATGAGTGAGGCTGAGTATCTTTTCATATGTTCAAGAGCCATTTGTTTTTTCCTGTACTGAGAATGGCCTACTCACCTCCTTTGCCAATTTTTGTCTTTTCAAAAAATTGATTTCTAGGAGCTCTTTATATATAAGGGAGAGTACAGGTCAGAGAATGGAATTGCCTTGTCTTGTTTTTAAATGATTTTTAAAGAAGAATAAAACACAAAAGAAGAAAAAATTAAATCTGCTTACCTTTCATGTGTACCCAATCTCTTCTCTGGAGCCTCGCCTAAGGTTACTGTGGAGTCACAGAAATGTCCTTGAGCAAAGGATGGGTTTTCCTGAGAATTTCTTTGTTCTTAATGAGTGAAACCATCACCTTTTTCTCTCCCACAGGGCTACGGCATGGCATATACTGTCCACAAGTGGTCAGAGCTCAGCTGGGCCAGTCACTGGGTCACTTTTGGATGCTGGATCTTCTACCGTCTCATAGGCTGAGGCATGTCTGTGGACCCTCACAGCTCCCTCAAGACCCCTCCTCAGGGTGCCAGCTCTGATGGGGGATGAGGGAAGGCCCTCTCTCTAATTCTTGACCACTCTCTATCCTTGACCCCCCTAACACCCCTACACACACACACACACACACACACCCCATTTCCATGCCTGTAGGTCCCCACCCCACCACAAGGCGGGAAGGGGGTGGTCCCTGCTGGGGCCTAGGGGTGGGGGATTCTTGGGGAAGCAGAGAGGGGGAGATCCAGGGCCTCCCCGCCTTCCTTCTCCCTTTTTATATACAGTTTGTTATTGTCAAATAAAAGTAGGAAATATACGAAAGGCTCTTTCTTCACTGCTCAGTGGGGAATAGAAGTAAGGAAGGGAGCACAGCAGGGATAAAGCTTGGAAGCTGGAAACCATGAAGAAGGAGCAGGTTGTGATTGGTTCATGGTTAATTTCTATTGTTCATGATTGGATGATAAGCCTGAGGATGGCACTGCTTGATTTGAGTGGGGCCAGGACAGATTTGATAGTTGGATGTGGGGGAAGCCTGATACTAATTGGCTGGAAAACCGAGGGATCCCCATTCTGATTGGTTGCTCCGATGGGACAGAGAGGAGGGAAAGCAAGACAGATGAAGAGTTGCCGCTTATTGGTCCTTAGGACTGAAAATTGTGCGTTCTAATTGGATAGGAGATCTGGGATGGGTCTAGATTCTGACTGATTGCGCGGTCAGGGTGGCCACTGGCTTAGTTAGGGAGTTCTGATTGGCTCTTTAGAGTTGGCACAAGGATGACCGCTGAGGAGTTCTGAGCTCTGAGGGAGAGGGTGGAGGCTCAGTGTACAAGATGTGATTTGCCTGTCGTATTAACAGTTTCCTTGCCAATTTGGGCATTAAGATTGAAGGTTGGTCCGGGAACTGATTGGTTGCTCTGCCTAGAAAAGGAGGGCAAAGATGAGAGGACGCAACGCAAAGCTGGTTCAACAGCAGGTGAGGAGGATGAACACTTGATTTCCGATATGATTGACTGATAAGGAGATACGGAAACTGAAGCCAAGACTCGCGGCAGATTGGCTTCGGCTGAAAACTCCCATCAATCTTGGCCAGACTCCACCCAACTCCTGACTCGCTCTCAGCCAACAGCGAAAATGGCACCATGCGTGAGGGCGGGGCCGGCGGCACACAGAGAGCTCCTATTGGTTGAAAGCGGCACTGGCCGCCTTCCCAGCGCCTCCATTGGCCAGCTCCATAAGGCGAGGAACCTGTGAGGGGATGGGTCTGAACTAGGGGTGTTACGGAGCCAGCGTGCTGGGCTAGAGAGAGCTGGGAGCCTGTAGGAGAGGCCGCTGCGACCGCGCCGCTGGGTGAGTGCCCTCCACCTGGCCTGCCACTCCATCCCCTAGCTCTCAGCTGCTAAACAGCCGGCGCTCGGCGCGCCTAGGCGAGACCCCTCCCCCACCCGCATCTTACCCTCCGCCGCGCTTGCGCGAGACCCCCGGGTACCGCGCGGTCGTCCGGACGACAGAAGATCCGCCTTCTCATTGGGCAGCTGGACTAGAGGGTTCTAGTTCTGATTGGTGGTCTGTGTATTTGACCCTCCTTTTTCGTTTTAGCGCTGCGCGCCAGACTCATCTTCCACTTTCCTCTTTTTTGCAGGTTGGCTGAGTTGTGCGCTATTAGGGGAAGTGTCTGGCTTTCCACACGCTGAACTTGAGGGTTGTAGTTGTGATTAGTCTTCTCTCTTCTGTCCTGCAGTTACCAGGACTACGAGGAGGGAATAGCTTTCCGTTGAACGATGCAAGACACTGACCCCTGCAGTGGGACCCAACGTGGTTCCTGTGTCTGCCTTACCAGAGCGTGACCAATGAGGGCTGGGACCTAGTCTGGTTCTTGTGTCTGCCTACCAGACTGTGACCAATGAAAGCAGGAACCAGACCTGTTTCCTGTGTCTTCCCCAGCAGAGCGTGACCCCTGAAGGCTGGGACCTGGTCTGGTTCCTGTGTCTACCACATGAGCCATATGGCTCCCAGAAGGCTGGAACAAGCTTTCAGTCTTTCTGCGGCCTTGTAGTCATATTTTTAAAACAGCATATAATTAGATTATTTTTAATCCAGTCTTACAGTCTGTCTATTACCTGATAAATTTAGTCTATTTACATTTCTTGTGATAGTAAACTATTTGGGTTTGATTTTATGATCTCATTCTGTGTTTTCTATTTGTTCAGGTTTTCTCTTTCTTTTTTCTGCCTTCTACTTATCCACACACAGCCATTAGCTTAGAAAGACATGACCACCAATGCCAGCCCGTTGCACCCATACTGGCCTCGGCACCTGAGGCTGGACAACTTTGTGCCTAATGACTGCCCTACCTGGCATCTCCTGGCTGGCCTCTTCTCCGTCTCGGGAGTCTTAGTTGTCACCACATGGCTGTTGTCAGGTCGTGCTGCAGTCGTCCCACTGGGGACTTGGCGGCGACTGTCCCTGTGCTGGTTTGCAGTCTGTGGGTTCATTCACCTGGTGATTGAGGGCTGGTTCAGCCTCTACCATGAGGACCTTCTTGGAGACCAAGCCTTCTTGTCCCAACTCTGTGAGTCCTGAGTTCTTTGATGTGCTGAGGGAGGGAATTTTCTGGGCAGGGATTGGTTTAGATGTTGACCCACCCACCAACTCTTCTATTAATTTATTTTAAAAATTTATTTAACTTTATTGTCCCATATATATTCACATGTGTTAAAAAACAAACCATTTAAAGAGGTATGCAGTGAAAATCTACCTTCTATCCACCAAGTTTCCCCAATTATTAACCACTGTTAATAATTGCTTCTTTCCTTCCAGGGTTTATTTGCACATAGATTACACAAGCCTCAGTTTGCTCAATTGTAAAAGAGGGATAATAGTAATACCCAAATATATGTAAGGCACTTAGAACAGTGTTTGGCAGACAGTAGATGCCATATAACTTTACTATTATTATCATCATCATCATCATTGTTTTTATTTTTCCCTTTTGTGTAAGCAAATGGTAACATGATATATACACTTCTCAACTTCGCTTTTTTTAACAAGGCCACTCCTTATCAATTCATGAAGAGCTTTCAAAGCATATATGTTACAGAATTATTTGACTTGTTATTGATGGGCATTTTCCCCCCAATCTTTTCCTGTTATAAGCAATACACCTTTTTGGCCTTGTGAATAAAGCTGCTATGAACATTCTTATACAAGTCTTTGTATGGAGATCTTTCATTTCTCTTGGATAAATATGGAGGAGTGGAATGGCTGGGTCGTATGGTAGATGTGTGTTTAACTTGATGAAAAACTGCCAAACTGTTGTCAAAAATGGCTGCACCATTTTATATTCCCACCGGCGGTATATGAAAGTTCTAGTTCCTCTACATCCTCAGTGACACTTAAGTATGGTCAGGTGTTTCTTAAATTTTGGTCCTAGTGGATATGAGTGATATCTCATTATGGTTTTAATTTGCTTTTCCTTAATGACTCATGAAAGTTTGAGCACCTTGCATGTGTTTATTGACCATTTGGAAATCCTCTTTTGTTGAAGAACCTATTTCAGTCTCCTGCCTGTTGGGTGATCTGTGTTTTTCTTATTGAGTCTCTGCGCACTCTTTCATTCACTCATCTGTTCACTGTGCTCTCTCTCTCACTTATTGGCCACTTCACTCACTCCCTTATCTACACCTGCTTGCTTTTTTCCCACCAACATTTATTGAGTACCAGACAATCAAAGCTACACTTATTGTTCTGTGTCAGGGTTGCACATATTATCTTGTATACATATATTAACTGTAGAATCCAAACAGCTACCCCATTTCAGATAGGAAACTGAGGCATAGAGAGGTTATAAAGCCTGCCTTCTTACATGGGCCCTCAGCTCGCACAAGTTTGAGTTCCTTTTCCTGCCTTTATTCTTCATGTATGTCTCTTGTCTTCTTCAGGGAAAGAGTATGCCAAGGGAGACAGCCGATATATCCTGTAAGTGTTTGCCCCTGTCGGGGGAGACCTGCATTGGTTTGGGGTGGTGGTGAGTCAGGGAGCACTAACGGGGTGCCCTGTGGGTAGAGCACAATGATGCCATTGTCTCTCCATCCTTTCTCCCGCAGGAGTGATAACTTCACGATATGCATGGAGACCATCACAGCTTGCCTGTGGGGACCACTCAGCCTATGGGTGGTGATTGCCTTTCTCCGCCAGCAGCCCCTCCGCTTTGTCCTACAGCTCGTGGTCTCTGTGGGTGAGGAGAGGGCCCACACTGGGTGCTGGAAGGTTGATGGGGGTTCACAGACACAGGGGCGTACCTGCGGGTGGGATCTCTCAATTGTGCCCAACCAGGGCAGAGTCAGAGTGAATGACAAACTCCCTGAGGTTCTGGAACAGCCATGCCCCTCTTGGCCTGCATTCTCAAGCGGAGAGGGTTCATTTCTGCTCCTCCTCCATCACCAAGTCTCCTGTGAAAGTTAGATGAGGTGGCCCATGATGGCAGGAAGCCCCCGGATCCTACAGGATCAGGATTCTGAGCTCCCTTCCTCTGAGACTCAGTCCTCTTGTGTTCTTACAGTGTTAGCTTTCTTTAGTTCTGGAAACGTGAGTTCTCTTTAGTCCTGGAATCCTGACCTGTCTTGAATTAAAGGATTTTGAGCTTCCTTAAATTCTGGAGGTATGAACTCTCTGAGTTAAGAAATTCTCAGCTTCTGATCTCTGGAATTCTCAATTTTCTGATTTCTCAAATTTTCAGCTGTAAGATTTCAGAATTCTTAGCTCTCTGAATTTGGGAATCCTGAGCACTGAGACCTTGAATGATGACTTGGAATAGCTCTTCCTCCTCACAGGATTCCCCCTTCCGCCTCCCACAGGTCAGATCTATGGAGATGTGCTCTATTTCCTGACAGAGCACCGCGACGGATTCCAGCATGGAGAGCTGGGCCACCCGCTCTATTTCTGGTTTTACTTTGTCTTCATGAACGCCCTGTGGCTGGTGCTGCCTGGAATCCTCGTGCTTGACTCTGTGAAGCAGCTCTCTCTTGCCCAGAGCACACTAGACGCCAAAGCCACAAAAGCCAAAAGCAAGCAGAACTAATGAGTGATGGACTGGGCTTGAACACTGGCTGATGAACAACTCTCTACCTGCCAGAAGAGTCCAGTCCATGCTCCCACAGGTTGGAGGGACAAAGTGAATTGATCTGTCAAGCTCAGGCTGATTGGGTGGGCACCAAAAGGGCCAGAGACGAGAAAGAAAGGAGCTGTACGGAGCTACTGCCAGGAGCCGTTGGAACAAAGGTACAAGAGAACACAGGAGGTCTGCGATGGTGGCGATTTTTTAAATCAGGAAATAAAAGATCTTGACCCTGACACTGAGAGATCTTTAATTACTAACCCCAGAGATGCCCCATGACTGACCCCACAGACCCCTCCATCACTCATTCATTCTACAGACCACCATTCTCTCAGCCATGGACCCCTATCATCATCACAGAGACCTCTAATCTATGATCTCACTAGCCCCCATCGCTGACCCCACAGATTCCCATGATGGCTGATTAGATCCATGAGACACCCATAATCTCTTCTAAAGAGTGATTATCCACTGATACCCTTGGTGTTCTCACCAGAACACACTTTTTCATTTTCTTGCAATATGAACAGGCTGAGAATTTTCCAAATCTTCAAGCTCTTCAATTTACTCAGCCTCTTGTCTCTTGATCAGGCACCTCACAGACTTACCCATCACTACCCTAAAGACCCCCATCACTCACCCCAGAGACCGCACAAAACTCAGCCCACAGACCCCATCATTAACCCCTAAGACACCCATCACTATCCCCACAAAGAGCCTTTCATTCACTCCATAGACTTCCATCACTCATACCACAGACCCCATCACTTGCCCCAATAGACCTCCCATCATGTACCCTACAACCCCATGACTCGCCCCGGAGACTGCCCCCATCATGTATCACACAGACCCTATCACTCTTCCCACAACCCCCCTATCATTTACCTTGTAGGCCTCTTATCACTCACCCTACAGATCCCCCATCACTCAACCTATAAACTCCCCGTAACTCACTTTGCAGAATGCATCACTTACCTCACATATCCCTATGAGTCACCCCACAGATCCCCAATTACCCTACAGACCTCTATCACTCATCCCACAGACCACCTATCATGCACCCACAGATTCCCATCATTTGCCCCACAGATACCCCTCACCGTATAGACCCCTCCATCACTCATCCCACTGTCTCTCTGTCATTCACCTCATAGGCCTTCAGTCATAAAGCAAATGGGTACTTGAGGAATTCTGAGGAGATGGCAAAGAATGAATAATAAAACTGCAGATACCTGTAGACTGGCTCTAGGTGACCTGTGCAGGGCTGGGCTTCAGTTCAAATCCTGGTAGTGCTCGAGCCTACAGTATAGCTTTTGAGAAGTGCCTCGCTGTTAAGGCCAAAACCGTGCATCACTTTCTCACCTCGTATTCACCACTTACCTGATCGCTTGCTTGAGGCATGCTGGCCTGCTTGCTCTTCCTCACTCACGCCAGGCGCAGCCCCACTTTCTGTCCATTGCACTGTCTACTCTTTCTGCCACTTACTGTCCCTTTGACCTTGAGCATGTTTCTCCCTGACCTTTAGTGCTCTCATCTGTAAAATGCTAATTGTAGTAGTACCTACCTCATAGAGTTTTTATGCAGATTAAATGAATGAATATATGTGGACAGTCTGGCATACGCTTTGTATTTGTTGAATGTGTAGGGGAAGAAGGAGGATCCCCCCCGCCCACCTTTTCCTGTAAGGTTCTTATGGCTGGTCAAACAATTAAAAAGGCAGGTTAGCAGGAGAAAATGAAGTTTAATAACATGTATACATGGGAGAAACCCAGAAAACTAAGCTACTCGCCACAAAGGCCGAAGTTGCCCCCTTAAATATCATCTCAACTGAAGATAAAGGAGGATGTTGGGGGTAGTGGTTTGGGACTTCAAAGGGGAGGAAGGCAATTCACATGGAGATGGAAAAGCAAATGTTTGTTAGACAACTGTTTACTGGGCCACCTTTAGAGAACGTGGCCTGAGAGACAGAATTTCGATAAGATGGGCTTGATGGTGCCTTTCTTATCACACCTATTTTATGTTATACTATAGTTATCTCATGGTATTAGCTCCTTCCTGGAACAGGCCTTCTATCTTAAATTCTTCTAGGCATTTTGGAGGAAAGCCAAATGTTCTTCCTGAGTCTTCTGAGCCTTTATTGTCTTCAGCTCGAAATAATCCGCATACCAGACTCACGCATCTTGGGGTGGCCTGCCCTGAACCCCATCAAATAGAAGAATAAATAAATGAAAGAGAAAGTTCTCCCCAGGAATATAGCAAGGACCTCTTTGATCTCCTTGCTTCCAGGATCTTTCCACCAAGACTTTCTCTGCAACCAAGACAGAGGCATCGGACCATCATACCCCCATCTAAAACCTGTGCTCCAGTGCCCTCAGGATGAACTCCAAGCTCCAGGATAATGTTTTGCTCACCCCATCCTATGATAATTTTAATGAGAAGCAGACTCTCCTTGTTTCCATCAGAAAATCCAGCAGTGCCATAAGAAGTGTTTTTGACTCCAGCATGTGGGACAAGAGAAATGTGCTAATAACCCTCTCTGGCTTTCAAAAAAAAATTCCCCATTATTTATACCTTCCAGAAAATAGATGTCTATTTAATACTGAGGCAAGAAATTATTTAAAAAGATACCAAAATAGAATTGCAAACTTCTCTAAAAAGTTAACATTAAGGCCGGCCCCGTGGCTTGGTGGTTAAGTGCGCGCGCTGCAATGCTGGCGGCCCGGGTTCGGATCCTGGGTGCGCATCGAGGCACCACTTCTCCGTCCATCCTGAGGCCGAGTCCCACATACAGCAACTAGAAGGATGTGCAGCTATGACATGCAACTATGTGCTGGGGCTTTGGGGGGAAAAAATAAAATAAATAAAATCTTTAAAAAAAAAAAAAAAAAAAAAGTTAACATTAAGGATAACATCCATACAACCCTGCAACAATAGCCAAAGTCCAGGCATCTTACAGGACTCCTTTGTTAGAAATTACATTGTAAGGGCAGTCTATTTTGTCCAAGCCATATGGATGCTGTGTAATGAAGTGAGGAAAATGCCGTTTTGTATTTTGTAGAGTGTTAAGTTTCTCAAAGGAGTCTAAGATACGTTAAGTCATTCAGCTGACATTTAGTGGACACACCGTTTAATAACAGTACCAACCTCAACATGTTGTAAGGATTATATAAAATAAAGGCAAACTTTAAAAAGCTAGGACCCCCAAGAGAACATAAAAATGGCTTTTTTTGGCAAATTATTTATTGAAGTACAACATGCGGACAGAAACTGCAAAAATCATAAACGTACAGCTCCACGAATTTGACAACGTGTAAACTATTAAGATTCTGGAAAAAGGATTATTTTTCCGTTCAGCAGATTCATCCAAAGCGAGGTGCATAGGCATTTGAAATAGATGACGTCATCTGTCAGGAGAGACACTCGGCGACTTTGGGCTGGGCGTGTGGCCTTGGCGTCATCGCGCAGCAGCTTCCTTTCCCCGCCCACTTCTCTCGCCCGAATAGGTAGTCACGTCAACACACACCTAGGTGAATCCGGAATTAAACTGCCCAAACAACCAAACCGCAGACGGGGGGAGGCGGAGCCTCAGAAGGCGCCTGCACATTGGCTGAAGTGAGGCCAATTGCCCGGCTTTTGGGGGCGGGGCTCCTGGCAACGGCACCATACGCGCATGCGCAGAGGCGACCTCAACCTTGTGCCAGGTGGGAGGGGCGGTTGGGGGGGAGCAGGGTCGCGCGGCGCACTCTGCGCCTGCGCCCGGGCGCAAGGTGGGGCTGCGGGCGCCCGCACTCTAGGGTGCGCGCAGGGGTAGGGGGCAACGGTCCACTGTCACCCTGAGACGGGTGGCGGCGGGATGGCGACGGCCTCTGGGTCCTCGGACTTGGCCTGCTCCGGAGCGCCCCCGCCTGGCGGGGGAGCCCAGGCGGCGGCGGCTGAGGAGGAGGAGCGAGAGGTGGTACGGGTCCGAGTCAAGGTGAGGCTGACGGCCGGTCGAGCAGCCCGTCCGGAGCTCCCAGGGGAGGGGAAGGTGGCTGTCCTAGGATGGAGGGCGGGACCTGAGATTTGAGGTGTTACCTGAGGGGCTAGGCTTGAGGGCAGAGTGATGGTGGTGGGCGGGAGGCGGGGGGGGGGCTGGACCAGGGAATACAGGGGCAGGGCCTGAGGGCGTGGGGACTGAAAATAGAGGGTGGGGGCCTATGGAATAGATAGGTGGAGATTATGGGCAGAGAGGAGGAGCTATAGGGTTCGAGGAGGGGCCTTAATAGTTGAGAAGTGGGGCCCTGAAGAATGAGGGCTGTTGCTGTCTGAAAGGGAGGCACTGAAGTCAGTTAGCGTATGTGTTGAGAGTGCACCCTGAGGGAGCTGACCTGCTCATCGGGGAGACAAACAGCTAGATAAATGAGATGCTTTGGACACTAGTGAATGTCATCAGGAAATAACGAAAAAGGTTCTGAACTAGGGAGTTAATTTAGCCAGGGTTCTATAGGGAACTCCTCAGAGAGCTATTGAAGTAGCAGAGACCCGAATAAAAAGGAGTCAGCCGTGTGCATATCAGGGGGGAAGAGTGTTCTAGGCAGAGGGAACAGCAAGAGCAAAGGCTGGGAGGTGGGGGTGAGTTTGGCATGTTCCCTTAAGTTCCCATATTGCTGGAACAGAGAGAGTGAGGGGAAGAGTGATAGGAGGTGAAAGAGAGATAAGAGAGGGGCGGATTGTGAAGGGCCTTTGGTGTGCACTCTGAGTAAGAAAGCTGTTGCAGTAGTTCCAGCAAGCAGTGACTGGGATGGCTCGGACTAGGGTCGTGGTATTGGTAGTGATGAGAAGAGAGTAGATTCTGGAGAAGTAAACATCACTTCAGTGTAATAGAGAAGCTCTAAGATAGAGGTTTGGGAGTTCAGAAAATAGATGATGTCTGAGCTGTGAGTGAGCCACTTGAAGAAAGTGGGAAGGACTTTCCAGACAGGGGGATCAGCACAAGCAAAGGCTTGGAGCCAGGATGTGTTCAAAGTAACTTCCAGCAATTTGGTCCTATAGGCCCACCTGCTGGGGACCGTGGGGTAGCCTTTGAAGAGATTTAAGCAGGCGAGTGTTGTAGATAGATGTGCTAGATTGGTTGCAGCATGGAGGACTGATTTAATAGGGGCCAGACTGGACATGGTGATCCTGCAAACCATTGTCGAGGGGATATAGAAGGATTGGGTGCCTGGACTCTTGCAGTAGCCTCCTCCTCACTGGAC